AAAAGAATCTGCGTCTCGGTGGTAGGAATATCTGCTGAATGGTACTACCTGACACAGAACACCTAAAACTTTCAAAAGTGAATTATTTAAGTGTAAGGCTTTGCTTGTAAAGCCGCCAGCTGCTGGATTTCAAGACTTGAAACTGTTCCAAAACATGGGACTAGGTACTTTATTTGTGCACTAGAGTAAATACTCTGATTTTACTGCCAATTTAAATGTGCTCAGTTTACAGTAATGAGCTTGTATAGGCAATACCTTGTTTATAGAAAGTGGAACAGGAAGAAACTAACATTAACCATTAACAGTAGCAATTTCTCTTGCTTCCAGCTCTAACTTTATGCCAAATAGATCCTTCCCATGTCCTATCTGAAATATTTACTATTACTGTTCTTTTTCTAAGTCAGTGGGATAAATGGAGCATTCAATAAAATCATACAGCTTTTCCTTCCAGTCAGCTTGAATTGCAGCACTCTTTTGTAATTCCACGGCACTATTTCTCATTCTTATGGTGAAATGTATTTCAAGAACAAGTATATGTCCTGTGTACTAGCAAACCTGATGATAGGTGTTAATCCCAGCAGAATGGAGTTAAATTTTTTTAATCCATTTAAAAATAACAGACCACTGCTCTAAGGGAAATTTACTGAATTGTGGCTGCCACGATTTCTCAGGTTCTTGTACTCAACCAAACTGCTTTATTCTTTCAGTGCAGCTCACACAAGAAGCCCATGTGTTTATGTACATCCTGTCACCTTAAACAAACATGCTTACATCTTCTCTGGCCATCTGCTCCTGAAGCTGGAAGTTTTCTCCCTTCCCCTCCCTCCTCAGCACCCCCTGACACACTCACTGGGTGCAGAGTTAACTCTGAGAAAACTCAGTGGAAAGCACAAAGTAAATTCCTTCTCTACACAGGTCACAAATCTCAGGGTTTCTTTCCTTCACTTAAGGTCCAAAAGTGACAATGATACACCAGAGGGTTTCAGCTGATGGCATTGGTCACTAGAGATCATACTGGTGATTCTTTCTCTATCTCATTTGGGTTAGCTCCAGAATGTCCTAACAGGGACCAGTACTTGGGTTTGCTGAACAGCGTCATCCCTGAGCAGGGAGACACCAGCACAGTCTGGGACACTCACAGTCCAAGGACACAGACAGGTTCAGGATAAAGAGGGCGTGCAAGGAAAGCAATGGCAGTGGTGTAGTAGGTCCTGAGTTCAGCAACTTTGAAAACCTAAACAGAAGGAGCAAGGAGGAGTAAAGAAAGGACAGACTCTGGAATGGATGGAGGGGCACACAGCAAAGAGGTTGAAGTTTGAGGTGTTGGGAAGATGAGGAAGCACGACAGAAATGCATCCATAATAGCAAAAGCACATGGAATTGCTGGTTCCTGTGTACAGTTCTATTGGCAGGGTCTTTTCCAGGCAGGCACAGGTTCCCCCCCACATGGCCACAGTGAGCTCTGGAGCAGGAGCTGTGACACTGCAGCTACTGTGGCACCCAGCCTGAGCTAACAAGCCCTGCTGAGAGGACACAGCTACAGCGCTTCCCTTTGCCTTGGAGAGAAGGTTTGAGCAAGCTCATGTCTAGTAACTGAAAACTCTACAGATGTGGTTTTGCCTTCATGTGTACAGAGATGGGCCAGTTTCTGTCACCTGTGTATCTCTGACTGGAACTTCTCAAGCTTTCAAAGGTCCCTGTCTTTATAAACACAGCCCTGTATGCAAAAAAAAAAAAAAAAAACAACAAACCAACAAGCCAGGTGGTGAATATTCCTTCTCTCTACATGTGAACTCCTGCTTTCACTGGAGTCAGGGGGAAAATTCCTGTGTATTTCAATGAGGCCAGGACACCAACTTACACATTCAAGTTGTATTTCATGGAATCCACTAAAAATACATTGATATCTGGACTCCAAGGAATCCAAATCGTGCCTGATTTTTTGAACACTTTCATTCTTAGAAAGATTTAAAGGAAGGAGTCTAAATACCTGGAAAACTTTTCACTCATTTTCATGTATTGACTTATTTAATACTTGCTAATAAATAATTGCATCCTGTTCTTAAAAGTCATTCAGCAGAAAATAATGGACATGTATGCAGCTACCAGTAAAAATCTACTTTAAATAAACTCATTTGTCATTACCTTTCTCAAGACAGCTGTTGTCAGCACCATTACCATTTAAATTTGTTTCGCCCCTGACAATTAAAATATCAACACTGAGAGAATGTAACAATTTCCATTGTTCCTAGCAGATAAGCAAGTTAGTTTTGTGCTGCAAGCCGTCACTGTAGCCATAATTAACTGACTGTGTATTGAACAACTGTGATGTTTGAGATTATTCAGTCTTGACTGGGATGTATCAGTGACTAAATGTTTACTTACTGAACTGAGTGATTACTCCAAATCCTTGTCTTGTCTCCAGCAGTTTCAAGGCTTTTTCTCTGGTACAGCTATTTCTTTTTTTAGTTTATTTGTTACAGATTTTGAACCAAATTTGAACATCAACCAATGTTTAGACTTTGATGTTGCTTCTATAATGACACTGCTATAGAATACAGAAAGGCATCAGGGGCTGACCTCAGCCTGAACTCTTGAAAACTGTAATTTTCACACAAAAATAAGTTTCAGTTCTTTTGTATTAGAATGTGCAGTTTTTCTCATGAGTTTGTTGTTATATACGTTACTGTTCGTTCATGCAAGAGACCTGATGACTTTTCTTCCTTTTCTAGATTTTCATCAATAATGAGTGGCAGAATTCTGAAAGTGGAAGAATATTCCCAGTATATAATCCAGCAACAGGAGAACAAATCTGTGACATTCAGGAGGCTGACAAGGTAATGTATCCCACGAATGGCTATATGTTTAATGTATAAATTAAATGCATAACAGATAATACAAACATATAAATAGATCAAAGCAACCAGTCTGGAATAGCACTGTTGGACAGTTCTTTTATAAATCATAGTTCCAAAACCCATCACATGTGACTGTTGTATAACAGCAAATCCAATAAGCCTGCTTGTGTTATTTACCTTGTGTCTTCAATTTTCTTCTTCCTTCTTCCCAGGTTGATACAGACAAGGCAGTGAGGGCAGCTCGGCTGGCTTTTTCCCTGGGTTCTGTTTGGAGGAGAATGGATGCCTCAGAAAGAGGCCATCTTTTGGATAAGTTAGCAGACTTGGTGGAAAGGGACAGGGCAATTCTTGCTGTAAGTGAAACATAAAAATCAGAAGTCAAATCAGTTGTCAGTTCTACGTTCTGAGAGCCAATTCATTCATGAATGGGTTGACATGAATTGTATGTGAAAACCACATGCAGCTTCCTGGCTGAAATGGCTCTGTCCACTTACAGCGTGGTGCAAAACCCATAAAGGCCAACAAGAGGCTCCCAGTGCGCTCAGATCAGCTTTAAATTGGATATCCCACAACAGCAGGGGTGTGCACACGTGTGTGCCCGCCAGGCAGGCCTGTAACTCTTCTAGAATAAGAGATGGCAGGCTGGGGTGATCTGTGCAGGCAGGAAGGGAAGGACAAGTGAGGTGCTCAGGGACACAAGTGGGGTGCTCAGGGACACAAGTGGGGTGCTCAGGGACACAAGTGGGGTGCTCAGGGACACTGGGCTGGTGACACGAGTTCCAAGTGCGGCTCTGTTCCTCTCTGGGATGAAGCCATCGCAACGGTGCCATTGTTAATGTTGTTTTCCGCATGTCAAGTGCTTTGAACTAAGCCCGTGAACATCTTAATTCCAGCTTTGTCAACACTTAAATCATCTTACCGCCGGCACATACTGTAAAATCACCATGGGGAGAAGGAAGTGCACAGCAAATCAAGTTTACTCTGCCTGTCATTTAATTTTTATTTCTGGAGCCAAGTTCTTTACTGAGCTGCACTGCAGGCAGTGCCATTAATTGCTCTTGGGGATATAAGTCAGTGCAGAATTAGGCCTCCATTCTTCTCTATAGAAACTCATTTGATGGTTGGTGTGTGACACAGGGGCGTCCTTTGCCCGTTCTTAATGATTTCTATTGGACAGCTATTGAGAATTAGTTAAGCTACTCAACATCTTAGGATATTTTATTGGATTTTTTTTTCTAAATGATCTTAGGAACCCCTAAGAGGATAGCTTATAAGATACTTTTAAAAATAGGAATATTAACTAAAAAAATAAAGATAGCTTGTTAATTTATGAGCTTCCCTAGAGGAAAGTTTGTTTATTTGATGGCAATAAATAAACTGGCTGTACAGTATAGATATCTCAGACCTCAGCAGGAGTCTTGGCAACCATATAGAGAAATTTTTATATTCACATCAATTATATAAAGAGGGATGTGTCTATTCTTCTCTTTATGGATTCAGATCATTAATACAGGGCTACAAGGAGCCCCTTCTCAGCTGTTATCATTAACATAACAGAACCCAGTTTGACAGGCATTTTTATCTTGGCTCCTGATTAAAGCATTTATAGATCTGGACCAAACACAGTGGCTATTAGGTTCAAAGTACACAAAGGCACATGTACATGCATGTGGATACACACATAAATCCACAAGACAGACGGACAGACAAACACACACAAACGTACACAAATATTCCTAAAATCATAGCCATTCCAGAATATGCCAGCAGAAACCAGTTTGGGTTTTTCAAGGAAAATACTTTTTGCTCACATTTGTGAGAAGTAAAAAAGGGGATCAGATAATTGTTCTGAACTTTCTGGGTTCAAATTACACCAAGGTGCAACTGATTTGTCTTCATTAAAATCTTTGTCATGGTTCAAGAGCTGTTAAGATGGTGAATACTTAGGTACAATAGTCCAAAAATGTTACAATACTTACATCTCTTAACTTTTTCTTGTCCTGCAGACTATGGAATCACTGAACAGTGGCAAACCATTTTTGCAAGCTTTCTATGTAGATCTCCAGGGAGTCATAAAAACCCTGAGGTATTATGCTGGTTGGGCAGACAAAATCCATGGAATGACCATTCCTGTAGGTAAGGGGAATTAAAGCACAACTATGCACCTAAACCTTCTCGTGGCCATACTAAAGCTTTGTGGAAGGCAGAGGAGGAGCCTGGGTTGCTCCTACAGTGTGCAGTGAGTTGCTGAAGCAGATGTTGGAAAGTCAGCAAGGGCAGGACTGGGTGCCCTGCTCTTGGTCTGCCCCACACCCACATGTGAGGAGGGCTTGGTTTCTTTTGCATGCATCCACCTGAGAAGGAGACAGCTCAATACCTACCTTTAACTATTGATACATGTATTAAAATGGATGAGGTATAAGCCTGAAAAATACCTTGGAACTCATGAAAATAGTGTTGGTGCCTGTTTAAGAAACAGTATCATTATAGTATGGATCTTGTTTGTATATGACTTCTTACTGCTGATGCAAATAATTTTACCTTGGACTAACACCGGATCTAAGTTAACTTATACTTTGAGAGTGTTCTTAAGGTTACTGTAGAGAACTACATACATATGAGATATATTTTGTTATAGATGCTTTTTCAAATTATTCAGTGGGATGAGTTTTATATTGTATATATGAGATAAACTTTAATGCATGCTAGGAAATTATTATGTTCTTATTCTTTTGCTAAAGAGATGCAAAAAAATCCTTACCATTATTTTTCTTTAAGAAGTTTCTTCCTCCTGCCCTTCCCTCCCAGCTGTTGAACAAATACAGGCTGCATTGTTTGATGCAAACAAATCCATTTGCAGCCTGGACTAGATGTACCAAGTCCTATAATTACACAACATGGCAAAATAGGAGAAATTATTTTATGTAGGTGCAGTCATTAAGATAAGTGTACTCATCTTTCTTTCACCTGCATAAAGAAAATCTCTGGAAAAACATCAAAGAAAACAAACATTCGTTATGTGGATTCATGGTGCACGTGCTCATTGCACTTGCACGTTTATTCCACTTTACCCAGCAGGGCACACTCAGGGCTACATGCCCATTGCTGTCGCCCAGCTGTTTCCCTGGTGTTCCACTGTGGGACAGCATCTGCAATGCACTCACTCACCTCTCTCTAGCAAAGCCCCAAACTACCCAAGTGAGGCAAGCAGATAAATTGAAAATATGCCTCATCTTCATGTTTCATCTTATTGAAATTGCAGCATGCACTGATTGGTGTTTATCTTCACTATCCTATTTTCACCAAAGAAATGACAATAATAATATTTCAGGTGTAGACATTCCTGCGAGGAGTCAAAGTTTTCCACAGTTATTTAGGCTGAGATTCGTAAATCCCAGTTTTGCTGCTTGCACTTCACATTTAATCACACAAAAGTGCAGACCACACCATAAATTCATGTATTCAGCAAATTTCCTGTTCCCTAATCTCTTTCTCCCTGGTCAGTGAATGCCTCCTTCTCACTCTTTAGCCCCACAGGTACACAGAAATTAGGTCAGCCACCAAAAGGCACTGCCAGATTAAGGAGAATAAATATTCTCTGCTTATTCTTGGTTTCAAGTACCTTATAGGATAAAACCTGATTTTTTTTTCAGCAAGGTGGACTATGCTGGGTGAAAGGAAGGCACATTTTCAGCATGCTTTTCTCAGTGCAAACTTTGTGCTAACACAGTTTTCAGAAGTGTAGAATCGTAAGTCCATTCACAGATTTTCAGGGGATCAATTATTCTTCCTTTAACACATCTCTTTATTCCTCTGCTTTTGCACCATAAATTTGTCATTCTCATGAAGCTGTTTTAGGGCAAAGCTACTGTTAAACAGCAGTGCTCTTTACGTTCATTTACCATCAGCTCACCAAAGATAAGCAAAACAAAAAAACCCCACTATTAAATCTTGTCTTTCTATTCAGTGTGCTAATAAATCTGAAACCTCCCAATCTTTTGTTGTTGCCGTTTTTGTTGAAGTTTTCTTTTCCTCTAAAATAAAAATAGGCAATTGATAGACAAGTAGAAGTGTGTTTTACAGTCACATTCCTTTTGGCCCCAGAGCTGCAAAACCTTCAGACTGCCCTTTGCTTGCTCCCAAGCGTAAAGCCTTGATGATTTAAATTAAAACAGAATGAGGCTAGACCAGAAACTGTTAAACTAATAAACTGAATGCAAGCAGAAATATATCTTTAAAGCAATATATGCTATGATATAGTTTGAAGAACCAGTTCAGCTCTCCTCACCCACTTGTTTGCTGTGTCCTGCTATATGAGGCATGGGACTGTATTATAGTTGTTATGCAAATAAAATATCTGTGCTGGAGACTCCTGATGGAAATCTAAGCAAACACATCTGTGGAAGATATTGCTGTCCCCAAGTGAGATCCCTGGATAAATGAGACTTGCTTTCTGATTAAAAAATGAAAGTCTTTAGGCCAGGTGCTAAGCAGCTGCAAATTGATCTTGCTCTATTAATATCAGTGAGGACTGAAGAATGTCAGTTTACTTCAGCTGCGTATATTAAAAATACCGTTTTAACACAAAATTTTAGATTGGATGTGGGATCAGTGTCAGGTCCCTTTCAGGCAATGTTCTTCTGGCAGCCAGCTAGTAAAGGAAAAGAGAAACAATCATCAGCCACAGTATCTTAGAACAAGGGTCATTAGCACAACTTAAAAGCCTCAAACATTTAAAAAGTCTCCTGTATAATTTCTAAGCACAAGGGACCTTTCGATGCTCACTGTTCAGAATAATGGAATTAAGCTCATTGAATTCTTGAGTTATTTTATTATGATAACAGCTTGTTCTACATTGTGGACAGGGTGGCTCTTAGATCCACCTTTGACCTGTCCAGAGACGTCCAAGGCTTCTGAATAATTTCAACTCACATATGTTCCCAAAGATATTGTTAGAAAGCAACCTCAAAAATGCCATCTTGACAGAAAATCTGTGGATGATGAACTTTGGAAGTAGGTGTCAAAAAGGGCAGCTGTCTAGAGTCTAGTGGGAGACAGCAGGGAGAGCAGCTCTGCATGGGAGGCACCGCTCTGCGGAAAGAACGTTCTGCCCACGCTGGGCAGAATTAACCACCATTTGTCTGCCTTGGCAAGAGGCTCAGGTTATCTATAACTCTGTGTGATGAAGCACGCAGACATGTGGCAGTGATTATGCAGTGACAATCTAAAGTCAGACAGTGCTAATGTAACTGTGTTACTGTTATGTTGCCACCATCCTTCTGGCTGAGAACCCACCTCTCACAGTACTACCGAGTACAAGCTGGTATTTTTAGCTGACTCCTCTGTGTTCTCTTGAGCACTTAGACAGTTTTGCTTGTATGTACTTCTCTGTATTTTGACTTCTACTTTGCTTCTGTTGGATCTGATGAATCTTCCTATGGTCTGTAAACCACTGCTAGCATCTGTGAAAGATGACCTGGAAAACCAAACTGATGGTCTTAGTCTGTGACACAAATATTCTCATCTCCACTGGGGAGCTGTCATACATGTGGAGATCAGAATGTTACAATGATGTTTTGTCAATGCAGCACAAGCTAACTGATAAACTATTTTCTTCTGCCTTTTCCTGAATCTCTTTTCTCTTTCCCTCCCTCCTTTATTTTCTCTGTTCTGTCTCTGTCTTGGTTGCAGACTATTGTTACCTTTCTCATAATTATTCTGTATCTGGCCCCCAGCTGACATATTAGATACTCTAGCTCAGGTTTCTGCTGAGCAAATCCTGTAAAGTAGATGGATAGAAATAGGCAGACCTGACAATAAGTTATTTCTAATCAAATTCAAGTTGAAGTCTTTCCTTAAACCCAAGAAACTTTAAGGATTAACCTGTTTATTGTTACCAGATATATCTTAGAGGATATTGCAGCAGGTTCCCAAAACACACTGCCCATTGTGAAGTCAATATTGCACAAGGGTGGCTGCGGCTCTGAACGGGGGAGAGGCTGGGGCAGCCACTTCCCAGCGCAGACTGGGAGGGAGAGCACATACCCTGTGTCAGACAGAACAATGGCAGCAAAAGCCCTGTAATCTCTCCTCCTCCTCCTCTTACTCCTTTCCGCTCTCTAACCTTTTCTTATCCTGGTAAATCATCTCCTGCCATTAAGCCTAGGTAACCTCATCATTCTCACATACTTAACTGAAATTATTTTCCCAAGTTAAGAGATTTGCGTTTTTCTAGATGACCAAGCACTACAGGCCAAGGGGCACATTCAGCTCATGCCTTTAGCATAGCCTTTCCCTCAGCTGTAGCCTCCCTGAAAAACATCTGACCTAAATTCAGAGATAGTTTCAGTCTGGGCTAGTTTATACAGCTATGAGACTCCATTGAGGTAGAGGTGCAGTAAATCTACTTTGCACAGATGCAGGCTGAGCACACTAACACAGCTACTGCTTAGGCAGTACCTTAACTGATCCTTTAACTAACAGCAGGTCCCTTTCTGGCTCTTTGTTAACTGGGAAGAAACCTGCATGTGTAACCTCAGCATGTGCTCCCAGACCGCAGGAAGTACATGATGCTGAGTGACACAAGTCACAAACTTCCCCTCTTCATTACACATCTAGAGATTGTGGTGCATTATTCCATCACTTCATACTGCTTGTGTCCTCAATGGCAGATGAGTCAGCTGAATGTTACTGTCTTACTCCACACTTGGGCTGCAGATACACCTTTAGATTGCTCTGTTCCACTCATGCCTTTCAGGAAATTGCCTTTGTGACTCTTCACTTCTCTCACCCTTAAATCAGCTGAGGCTGTAAGTGCTTCCATGCTACTGCAATTTTATGTGCAGTACAGCTCTCTGCCAAGGAACAAAGCAGGTTACTTTCTGATGGGAAGCCTGATTCCTTTGTTCTGCAGAAAGAACAATTAGGTTGCTCCTGAACCTAGGCTTCCCATGCTGGCTCACAAAAAAACACTTCCATGACTTCTTTATTTCTTTTACTGCCATCAAAGGCTGATGCTTAGAGTTTTTTCCCTCCCTCTATTTTAATTTTTTTTTTGTTCTGCCAAGTCAAACTGCACTTGAGAATAAGCATGCTCATCTGTTTCAGATGGAGATTATTTTACGTTTACAAGACATGAACCCATCGGAGTGTGTGGACAGATCATCCCTGTGAGTATCTCTACTAGTGCTTTCTATTTATTTTCATTTGAACCAGCTCTCTTTAAAGACACATAAAACACGGGCTTCAGCTATGTGTGTTTTCCATTACGAAAAAAGCTGAGCTCATATTGTTGACATATCTTCAACAGCCTCCCTGCAAATGCTTATTTGAACATGCTAATAGGGTTTAGGCTCTGTTATTAGGAGTTAAGTTCTCAAGTCATAGAATTCACATGATTAAAACAAGCAAAGCAAAACACAGTGTTAATATGCTGTCAGTGGTTATGGATGTTCACACAACTTATGGAAAATTGATGCTTTGCTGTGGTAGTCTCTTTATTTATTTAGTTTTTACTGTGATTTAACAGGCTCCTCAGTTCCTGGGAGAATGTGATGTATTTTAATTCCATTCTTTCCTGCTATTTCTTTTACAAGGCTGGAGGAGAAAAGGAAACTCCAGGAGACATATCATTACAATTAACATTGTGTAGCTAACAGAAGACATGAAATGTTTGTTTTATTTGCTGGGAGAGAGAAACACATCATTTCATCAAATCCAATACTCCCCCTACACCCCAGCAGACACCCTCATAATAAAATCTTGCTGAACACTGCATGGGAATTGCACTGAGAGGGTAACTTTTTCAGAAGAGCCAGTTAACCAGCTTTGGCAGAAATTTCAATGGGAGGCTCACATACAGCTATTAAAATATTGTGTGGAAGCTTTTTTACTTGACAAAACACTGAGGGACTAATCAGGCCATTCTCTGAATTTTTTTGTTGATGTTGATTTTTTATTTTGTTCACATTACCACCAAGCCACTAAACAGAAATACGGAGCAATTCCATTATAAGAGGAGCAGCCAGAAAAGATTACTTTAACAATGCAAAGCCCTTTTCCCCTATTTATATTTGTTGCTATTTCATGTCTTTGTTAAGCGGTGGCTTTTGTGTTTGGCACTCAGCAGAAGCCCAGAGAAACGTGCAATGACTCAGAGTCTGTGGCTACAGCTGTCCTGCAAACACCTACACACTCTCCCTACTTGGTCCTTATGAATGAAAGATTCCACAGCTCCATCCCTGTTCCTCTGCCAGGCACATGGATGAGCATTTACCAAATGACAGCCCCAACATCTAACCCAGCATTGCTGGACATCTCTTATGTTGTTTCACTGAGCTTAACTGACAGACCTGCTGAAGAAACCTGGCCGCAGGCTGAGGATCATGCCAAAAGCAGGACTGATTTAGTTTAGACGTGTAAACCTTTGTTCAGGGTACCCAGCCATCTACCATACATGTTTGTTCTTCCCTCAGTTTTGTTCTCCAAAGCCTGAAAATGGCTGTCATATCCATCCATTCAAACAGCACTGCTGATCTGTTCTGTATTTCCTCCACGCTACCAGTCCCAGAGGACAGCCCAGGCTGCTGCATGTGCTTGGCCATTGCCTGAGCAAATACATTATTCAAAAATAAAATTAAACAGCAAGTCTAACACTGAACTCCTCATCTTCTTTCACATCCCAGCTTCCATCAAAACGTGCTCTTTGGCAGTGCTGTAGCATAAACAGGGCTATATAGTTCCCTATAAAACTGCTGTGAGCTCTCCTTGCAATGCCATTAGAAGTGCAGGCTGTTAGCACACTGCTGGCCCGACAGCTCCCCTCCCAGGTTTATGTACTGGAGATGGAATTAAAACATCACTTTGTCTCCGGAGTTTATAAACAACAGAGGGAGTAAAAAATTGGGTGTTCTGTGAAGGAAAGACAGTTGTGTATTTTTTCAAGCTAGCCAGGGGCTAGAGAGATGTCTGAGAGTGGCAGCTGATATGCATCAGGCAGCAACACGTTCTGGCCAGTGGCTGACTCTGAGACTGATATTTGCTATTCTCCTTCTAACAGAGACTGTTGTGTGCATTTGTAACAGTGATTGTGAAAACACAGTTATTTTATTACTCTGACATTTTCACTAAAATCAGCAGGACTATCCACTTGCTTGGATCAGGCCTTGGTGCAAAAGGCTTGTTACTTTTATCTTTACCCAAGACATGTTTGTGCATTGAACTAATATAATCCACTACATCATCTGCTGCAGTTCAATGAAGTTATAATGAATGACAATACAAAATTTTATAGCAGCAAAGCATTTCTCAACTTGTTTTTTACTGTCCTTTTAATGTCTTCCATATAGATTTCTCAGTAAAAAGTCTTCAGGAAAATTAAATGCTTTGATTGAACATTGACATTTATGGACTTTTTATTGTAATTCCATCAATTAAGGATTATATAATTTTGAGTATAAATTTTATATCTTAAGATGGCATATGAAATTTACATCCAAAACTGCTTAAACATGAACAGTTCTTTCCTAATGTATCAGAAGCAAGACCTGTTTTCATGGGGGAATTAAAAATGTCAATAGCAAAACAGTAAATTAAATTAAAAGTTGTGACTTAAAAAATTAACAGATAACTTTTTTATGGAGATTGCAGGTGGGGGTTGTATTTCTTTGAACAGGAGAGAAAGAACTAAGAAGTCACTGTTGTTGCTTTCTTAATGGCAGTTATTTTAAAAAATCCTTGCTTTGTGCTGGGAAAGATTTATGTTGAGGATCAGCCTGAGAAATAAGTGAGGTATCAGCTTGACATCTTGCAAACAAAACACCACAGCAATATTTTTCCATCTATCAACTTTTTTTTTTCCTACAGTGGAACTTCCCCCTGCTGATGTTTGCATGGAAGATTGCTCCAGCTCTGTGCTGTGGCAATACAGTAGTTATTAAACCAGCAGAACAAACACCCCTCAGTGCTCTCTATATGGGTGCCCTCATCAAGGAGGTAAGAACAATTGAGGGGAGTGATGTCTGTCTGTCCTTTTGGGGAGGGAACTACCAGCACATCCCTGCTTTAACATGCTCTAACAGCTCTCATAAGTCATGCTTACCTTCATTCATTCCTATTTTGACAGGCTGGCTTTCCACCAGGAGTTGTCAATATTTTGCCAGGATTTGGCCCAATTGTTGGTGCAGCCATAGCCTCTCATGTTGGCATTGATAAAATTGCTTTCACTGGATCCACTGAGGTAAGAGGATTCACACATTACTGTAAAACATGAATAAATACTTCAGTCCTTATGCTGCATTTCTTACTGTCACTGGGTAAAAAAGCTACATCTAAATAACAGTGGTCTGTGCTTCCCAGCTAAACTTATGTACCACAGGACTTCCCAAGCACAAGCAGCTCCTTTCCTCCAGCCCCTGCTGTGCTCAGCACCTCAGCAAGGAGATATGCCTGGAAAAATATTGCTGGGATTTCCTGTGGGCTTAGGAGGATGTGAATCACATGCAAGTAGGCAGAACATCCCGTGTATATCACAGCACACAGAAGTGCTGCTTTAACATCCATAATTTGTGTATCCTGCCGTACTTGGGGGAAAGGGAGAGCAAGGGAGCAAATTGTGCAAATATACTTCAACTTTGATGCTGCATACAAGTACATTGAGGATGAGGAGGAGGCCTAAAAAGGAAGGAATGCAGGGGGAAAAGGAGATTGTCCAAGGTTTCAGTTCCCAAAATGATGGAAAGAAGCTGGCCAGAGGATGAAGGGAGACAGTTGTCTCCTGGATGCCAAAATGCCTTGCTAGGAGTCTATGCTGCAGATGTTAGAGAGGAGGCTCACTCTGAAGATGAAGGCTGCAATCTTCAGCAAGACTAACCCCCAAAACTCTCACCACATCTTGCTCTCAAATATGTGCCAAGCTGGCTGTTATCAGGGTTGGGGTGGGGATGACAGAGGTACTCCAGACTGAAGTCACAGGAGAAGGGGCCTTATCTCATCGTCTGAAGGCAGACAGAAAGGAATCTCTGTGGGAGTTTCAGGGCTGGTTATATTTAGAGAGTGCTAAACCCAGCCCTTTTCAATTCAGAATCTGACAAACTATTGTATGGAGGGAGCTAAACCCCAGGGATCCAGTCTCCCTTTGATATGTTTGACTCCCACTCGTGGCAGTGGAAGGCTTTGTGCATCCCAGGGATCCTGCTCTCCACAGTGAGGCAATTTGCTTTTTGATTTGTGTCAATAAATTCACTGACCATGCAGCCCTGCTAGGTATGTGTGGGTATCTCCCTGGTGGGCCCAAGGATTGCAGAGATCAGCTCAATTATTTCAAATAAATTATTCTGGTGGAATTAATCAGTAATTGAGTTTGCAAGTCACACACAAACCTAAATTACCAGTAAAATGTAGCTATGCCTAATTTGCACACACAGGTGTTTTGCAATTACTGTATGCCTGCACATGGTTTTTTAATGACAACTTCAGATTCTAATATACACAGGTTACATTCTAAGTCAATGGCTACATCAGATTTCAGATTATTCTGTGGAATTACTCTAGTCATTACATCTTCTGTATCCAATTAAGATTAGCATCCTGGAATACTGAAAATTTTAATATGAGCTGATTACCCCCCATAAATTAAGTTGAAACAATTGTTTTTATAAAGATATGTGGTCTCTGTTTAAGATAAATATTCTATTATACAGGATGTTGCACTGTTTGGAAGAGGAAAAATACAGATGGGTTAGGTTTCAAAGTTGTCTCTTGTAGCCAAAATAAATTTTATTGTAGTTCCAGACAGCTTTAGTTTTAATAGGCGTTTAAACTCAAAAGCTGTGGGTTTTATACTAACTCAGTGCCTACCTTTAAAAGCCTTACTAATAGGAAGTGAAAAGCATTACAGAGATGAAAAAGCAATTCTCTAAGAACCTAAAGCAAGAACAGATGGATCGTTTTAATGCAGAGTTAGTGTAAACTATTCCATATTGTTTCTGATTTCCTGTAACACTGAATTTTTGTAACAGCAAGTCAACATTGTAACATTTTAAACACCACATTCTGATATGAGCCGGACTAGAGTCTCTGACTCCCCCAAAGCAGATTTCAATTTCTAGTGAAATAATAATGGAAATATTTTGTCTCTCTGGTACTTGTCTGAAGCATGTCAACTGCACACTCCAGTGATGGGGATCTCCAATAGCCATTAGGTGTATAAACACCAGGTATTAACTCCATTCCTCCATTCCATCCATGTGCTAGTTAAGGCAGTTCATGATGGGCAAGTTAATGATAAAACCTATCAGTACAAACACCAAGATCTTCAAATTGAGATTCTGAAGCACAGTTTTTTCTCTAGTTTTCACTATGAGGTTTTTTTATATAAGTTCTTTACCTTTGAAGCATACATATAGCTAATGAAAACTCTCCATTTGCCTGTAAAAATCACAAAAATGGGCTATTATCTTTTTTCTGCAGTTTTCTTGAAAGCCAGTAAACAGGCTGCTCCTCCTACAGAAAAAAAAAAAAAAAGAATGCTAATATGTTCCAATATTTGGAGAACCCAATCCATAGAAATGCAAGCCAAAAGGCCAAGTTCAGAACCTTCCCTCAATAAAGCCTGACACAGGCACAGCACAGAGCCCTCCAGCCTCACACCTTATCTTGCACCAGGAGCTGTACCAGCTGCTCCCAGAAGAGAGTGATCCATGTGTAGAGTGATCCTTTCCGTGCTGCAGCCTCACAGCTTCTGACCGTGCATGATTACACCCCCCAGAGCCCAGGGGGGCATGGGCACCCTTGGATTCCATGTGCCAATGGCCTTGCCCCCTGTGCATTAGTCCAGTACCTCTGGAACACCCCTCAATCCTGTGCCCCTGCAATGACAACACAGAAATAGATTTCCACTTCTGCTTCTGGTTTCTAGTTTAGAGCTATCCAGAGTACACTCTCTTCTCTGGGTTTTAGATTCTCAGATTCTCTGAATTTTTTAAAAATACTGCTATTTACTCCACCTCCTGCCCCCCCCCCCCCGCTCAAAATAATGCATGAAAAAGCATAAAGAGGTCTTTTTCTCTGGTGCCATTGCTGTTTGATTTCACTTCTCTCCACCTTTCCTGCTGCCCCTCCTTCTATGGGTTAGCTTGCACACATTAAAAGAACAGGCTGCCAGCTCTTTCATCCCTCAGCCTATCTGCTTCTTATGAAACACTCTCCCATGGATCATCTTCCTCTCCCAATCCCCTAGTACATGGCCCCCAAAGCTCTTCCCTCCACAGCCCACTTGGAAGGGGAAGGGTTCTGCAAACACCTGGCAGGCTATGGATTTCACTCTGACAACTGTCACACTGAAAGAAATAAAATCATACTGAGTATGAAAGCCCACCTTAAAATACTGTGGCTCCTTAGGTTCCAGGATCTTTCTTGGCTTCTCTGCTTGCTTCAGTTCACTCTTCAGCAGCCTGTTTGGTACAGGCATTTTAACCAAAATGTTTATTTTTACTGTGTTGGTTTTAGTCAACCAGGGTTAATCCATGATCCTCCTTAATTACAGCAATCTCCTCTCAGGCTTCACTGACACATTTTTTCCTCATCTTCCACAAGCAGATGAAATTTAAACTGCCATAACCAAACTTTCTTCCAGCCAATATGACCATGTTAACAGTTGCTCCTACCTTTCCTTGGAAGTCCATAATCAATGTACATATCTCATTACATCTTACTGAATTTCTCCTTGCTCCTTCTGGTCCTGAGCTGCAGGGTGGAGCTCCCACTCACTGGGAGCATGGGAGAGGTAAAGCTCAGCTGTGTCCCCCTATCCCTGCTGTTTACTGTACATGCCTCTTCCTTTTGCACTGCCCCTCTCTGCCTCAGCTTCACTGTTCCACATATTCTTGTCTGAATTCCTTTAAAAAACATATTAGCAACGATTTAATTAGAACTAGCAATTTACAATTTCTGAGTTTCAGAACAGGTCCAAGCTCAGGATGTCTGCCATTCCCATGTGTCTGCTGTTAGGCTGCAGTGCTCAGAAGTACAGGAGATGTTCTACAAGTCTCTTGCCCTGTAAAATAACAGTGGGTTTTATGTATTTCCAAGACAAATGCTGATAAGGGAACAATTCTTACACATACCAGAAATGCAAAGAGTATCTTCATATTACTTTCTTATTCTCTGAAAGAACTTTTGCTGTGCAAAAAAGATGAAAGGCCTTCAAATATCAGAGCAAAGCAGCCATCAGAAGCTGGTTTACTCTTAATTTACCTTTATTTCCATTCAAATCTGTGAGCTCAGTTAAGGCTTTGCAAATACAGCCATTTTCCTGCTGAGAGCTGTCTGCCCAAGTCGCTCCCTGTGTGCTCCACCTGAACTGGAACTGGTGTGGGGATGGTGTACCCTGAGCTTCCTGGTACACAGGGAATAGTTGAGGGCAGTATGTCCTGGGTTTAAAGTTAGGGATTATTATGGAGAGTAAGAAGTTATAAATACTTTAGAATGCAGATTTAAAGCCCTGCCTGGGATAAAAATTGTATTTTGATTGTTGCAAAAGTTTAATGAGTTCTAATAACTTCTGTTTAAAACCAAATGTGTAACCTCCAAATCAGACTGGCTTACAACTCCCTCCAGTTGTTAAATGCTCTCAAGATGAGAATTATAGATAGCACAGGAAACATTTGAAGTTCTGGCCAACAAGAAATGTATCCTAAGTGGCTGGTTTCCACTTTGTTCAAACTACGACCCATTAAAATGCAGACAGATTTAAGATAGGATTCAGGTCTGTGTTCAGGCAGCTCTGCAGAGTAACCCAAATAAATATCCAACAAATTGGTTTGGATGCCTGTGTAAACAAAAGGTCTATAAACAACTGCAATAAACCCCAGCAAAAGAGTCTGCATTTTGCTTGGCAGAATGTTTTCTTTATGCACTTAGATTAACAAACCATGATCTCATCATTAGTCAACAAGATACTAGAGAGACCATCAAAGCGAACTACGGGAGAGTTGAGATTGATTCATGCCAAACAAATGTTTGTAGCTAACAGCTGTATTACCACTGATTCTAATTTACTCAGCAGGATTCTCCTTTCATTTCCAAAGTGAGATGAATGTCCCAATGCATGATGTAGACATTCTGTCTTCCTACTGCACAGGCAGTGGGTTGTGTGAGCTCTTCTGGATCACACAATCTCTTGTTGCTTTTAGGCTTCATGAAGAATTGCAACCTGGCATTTTCTACTTTAGCAATAAGAATCCTAAAGGTGATCTGACCTGTTCTGAGAAGTCTGTGAGCTTATGGTGCTACACACATACCCTGTGTAAGGATTTAGGGAGGCTGCATTAGCATTCATTCCTGCTCCTGCAGAATCTTTTGGGTCCTATCTTGGACAGCTTGAACCTCCTGAATGAGAAGAAGTTGTTTCCCTTCTCCTTTTGGCAGCATTTAGGAAGCTGTTCCTGGGCAACTGTTGTGCCTCTGTGCCTACAAAAGATGCATATCAAAAGGAATCACCTTTTTAAATCAGTACAAATAGGATGGTGTATCAGTCCTATCAACATTAGCAGGAGTTTTGCCACAGACTTCCAAGGGGCCAGGATTTAACCGACGGAACAAGTCAGCCATTTATAGCTTAGGATTCTCTCCAGGAATTGTGTTTAGGATTGCCTTTTCACTTGTGCTGCACTATTCAGTATGCTCTTTTCAGGGCTGCTCCTCACACAGGGCATTGTACAGTCAAATAAAGCTGCTCTTCTTTGTGCCAGTATTCCAAATTTGCTTGTCACTGCAGGAGACACACCCTGAACATGCCAGGAGGCTCTAAAATGCTTGTCAGAAAGATTTGAATATAATCTGGAATTCATAAAAAATAAGACAAACTGAGTGAGCAGCAGTATGGGTTTGAGTGTTTTGCCAAAACAATGACATCCAGTGTCTCAATAGCTGGAGAGAGAAAACTGTACTTCCAGAAAACATTGAAAATTTCTGTCTGGCCACATCATCTCCACAAAACTTAAGTAATCTCTTGTAACTTAAACCACTTACTGTCCTACAGATATTCTCTCAAAGTCCCAAGAAAGGTATAGAGTATATTATTTAAAATGCCTAACTGATGACGTATATCTCCTCTGCCATATTTTGCACTGTTCATGGAGTATTTTAATCCATGCATCTCCCTGTGCAGTTCTTCCCTTCACTGTCCTGTCTGTGGCAGTCAGGAACATGACCTGCTGTTCAGCTAGGCTGCAGCTCCCCTATATTCAGGTGTTCCCTGATGATTTGCTGTTTATCTGTAAGAAAAGGAAGGTTCAGAGCAAAGGAGAACCCAGACATTCTGAATGACAGAGCTGAAGAGGCAGTACCACAAACCTTGGAGGTTTGCTTTAGACTCACGAGACTCGGAGTGCTCTAATAGTAACAGACAAACCCACCTGTACCCTTTAGAAGTACAGATTTCTGTCTGAAAACAGAAAATTAGGAGAACATGAAAGGCAACAAACATTTTTAAATTTCTGGACAAAGTATTTAAAATGCAACTGCTTAAGCCTCCTCTTGAAAGAGACATTAAACTTCCATGTAGAGAAGGCATAAATAAACAACAATAAAATGTTTTAGATCATCATACATTCTCACTGCTCAGTGTCACACCATCTACAGTGCAGAAACAGACCCTTCCAGGACTATCATTCAAATAGCTTTGTTGCACAGGAGTGTCTCAAACTGCTTTTTTAATCTTTGTTTTTGTTGGTCTGCATAACAAATTGTTTTCTTTGAGATGGACCAAATTACATCTGCCTCACCCTCCATGCAGCTTACAAGGTTCTGGTACTTCACAAGCTATCCGGGGATACTCCTGATATCAATCTTGAAGCCTATTCAAAACAAGGTTGGGGAGTCAGGGCTTTCTCTGCCAACATTCCTGCTGAATAATCGCACAGCTCCATTATCTGTGGGGGAGTCCTCTCTTGCAGCCTTCCCTCTCCGGGCTGTGCTGCCTATGGGGAGCTGAGGGATGGAGCTGAGACGCCGCGGGAAGCGTGGCCTGAAAGGCAGCAGATTGCAACACTATCACTTATCCCTTTCATGCTGTCTTCCTCCATAAAGAGAGGGCCACTCACAAAGGGCCGCCTTTGTCACTAAATAACCGCGGTGCTGGTGCCTGCCCTGAGACTTTTCTCAACTTGTGAGTGCACAGGGCACAACAGGAGCACAGTGAACAAAAATGCTGAGCAGCATGAGCCCCACCATCCTGATGTCTACACTGATCCCTAACAGGAAAGACACACTGAAGCCTTCTAGTAAGTTTTTACTGGGAATCTTGACAACTTCCCGGTATTAAAAATACCTCAGACAACACTTTTCCAAATTAACACCACTGTCTCAAAGCCCTTTGGACTCGAATATTTACCATATACTATGCTTGGACTTGCATAATTGTCAGTTACTTGTTAGCATGGAATCCTTTCAAAGTCTTCACATGTACAAAAGCATTTTCACATTAGAGTAGAACAGAAAGCAGGGAGATGAGGGCTGGACACATTGCTCTGGCTTTCTTGGTCTGTCCTGCTCTTTGTGAATTTTTGAGAAATACCTGGCTGTTGTTCTGTGAGAGAGGGAGGTTCAAGGCAGTGAGGGTGTGAAAGGCATTGGCTGGCACGGGCTATAAACACAGAACTCTGGTTTCCAGGGTACATTTTCAGCACAGTTTGAGAGGCTGGAATTTCCAGATGATGTGCTCCATGTATGTGGTGGGGGTGGAAGGCAAAAAGGATCCTTTTTTTCAGGTTCACTTCTGGCTGTCAGTCAAACATAGCAATAAAATCAGCTCCAATTAAGGGGATATGCAAGGA